TGGATTATCCGGTAACAACTAGGGAACGCGTTGTGACTAGAATTTTTATCATGTTTGGAAACGAAGATTGTTATCTAGGGTTGCTAGTATTTCGCAATAAACAGCGTTACTTCTGCTTGTGTAATGTAGAGCCCGTAGATAATTGGGGGAATGCTTAGGTTGACAGGACGGAGTCTTCTGTTGAAATCGTTTAGTTCTATCAAGAAAGGGCTGTTCTGAATATCGTGACACGAGCGCAGAGTTTAAAAAAATCAGGCAAATAACTCCGTTAGAGATATATATATATAGATGTCATATATATCTGCCTACATTAGGGACTTTAAGTATACACCCAATGCTACAGTTCTCGACTCGCTATAGCATTTTAGTGCTAGATTTGTACTTTTTAAGTTTTTGTATTTGGAGACGGCATCCTCTTTAAGTTTTGATTGAAACATGGCTTCGTGCTCTGTATGTCTAAAAACGATGACCACGTCAAAACGAAGCACTCTCCCAAATCTGTTAGCTTCATTGTGGTATAAGCGTCTTTGAGGCACCGCTTTGGAGCTCTTTTCCAAAGTGTTCTCTGCTATTATCGAGTGGAATTGTGTTTAATCCAAGGCGGCCCGTTTTTATTTCTTTTACTGTTATGTCTGGCTTTTATACTGACTACACTAAGTCAAAGGGGGCTGGCCTCTTTCGACTGAACAAATTCGGCACCTGCTAAATTATTTACAATTTCCTTACGACACGCACTTGTTTTCCGTTGAGTTTTCTTGTTGCAAAAACTTAAAGAAGTAGATTTCTTTTTCATACTGATCACCACAAAAAATTCAAGGCTTCCAGAGAAAATGTTTTGTCTGTGACTGCCATGTTTTGCGTAAATTAAAAAAAAAAAAAACGATTGATTTGTGCGCATTGAAAATCAACCAAACTGATCAAAATCAATTAGACCACACGGGTTTGTTCTCAATTAATCAATCCTTTATTTCACTGTTCTTTGTCTGTCAATAGCGTCAACAGCGCTATTCAATAAAATCCATTAGGCATTTACATTGTTATAAAAGCCTATTCATTCCACTGTGCTATTCTGTCAGTCAGAGATAGCAGCTCTTGACACTGGCTCCACTGGCGTCCTTAAGCAGCACTTTCTAAATTCGTACACATCGCTCATTCTTGAAATATGGAAAATGCTCTAGTACCAGAAGTTCTAATGTTTCCAATAACGTCGTTTCCATATATTTTGAACACCAAACCAGAACTGCAGCAGTGTTTCCTGCTCGATTTTGAAATTCGACCGGGCTGGATTGTTTACAACCCCAACGTGGTGACCGTTCTTTCTTGCAACCAAATGTTCCAGCCCGTGTACGAGTTGAATTCAATTTGGAACCCGGACAAACAGGTCTTTAAAATCAAGTGCAACGACGATCTGGAAGAATTGAAGACGCTGCTGGCCAAGCCGATAGTATTCTGTACGACAAGACGACAAGAATGCGAAGCAATTATCAACGGTTTTGACACTGACTTTGTTCTTTTGCTGGATCCAAGCGACCATCAAATTGCGAAACAGATTGACAATATTGTAAATCGCGTGGAAGAGCGACTAAACTCTGGCCAAAAGTTTTGCTTCAAAGTCAACTTTTCAGACCTGTTAGACAGACTGACGCTGGGCAAGTTTAAAAGACTCGTTCACTGGTTGAACAATGAATTTCACATTACCAATCACTGCAGGCCCAATCACTTTTTGCAAATGAACGTGTGTCTCTTTTGGTGTGCCATGCTTCCAGTTTTCCTCATGGCTTCGCTTCCCTATCGCATCGCAAGGAGAGCTTGTGTTCACGATGAAGAAATACATTTGCTAGTAAGATTCAAATTAGAATTTTGTCCAGATACTGTTCTTGTTTTACACTTCTTTTCAGTTGATCAACCAATGCCCGGAAGATATGACACCAACGAAAAACTCTACATTGAACGCGACTGTTGTTCGGCTGAGCTAGAAACGCTTGTGTGCTTCAACCCTCAGGGAAACATCGATGCTAAAAAGAAGTAAATTGCTTTTAAAAATGAAGTGACTGAAAGCAAAGTTAGCAACCATTCTGGAAGAGAGAAGAAAGAAAAAGAATAAAACGTGTTAATTGTTGTGCCTGTTGTCCTTTTGAATGCTTATTTGTTGTCATTGTGTCCATTTACCTGAACCGATTGTCAAACTATGCAGTTACACAGGGACGAGGTAATTCGGGTCATAGATAGGGCATTTTTTTCGACTGCTGTATTACATCGATTTTTGACATGAGTTTGTGATGTTTGCCATTTTTTGGGCGTTTTCATTGCGGGATTGTAGGGTTTTAAACCACCGCCCCTTTTCACAATCCACGGACCTAACCCACCAGCTATAAAAAAAGCCGGTTTCTGAAAGGGATTACATATACCTGATTCGAACTGCACCTTCTGGCGATAGAAATGTAAAATAATTTCCTGTACTCAGAGCGCAATATTTTTTTTTCAAAAAGTGGAATATTTCGTTCGGCTCAGCCAAACTGCGACAGCCACAGTAAAAATGTGAATGTTAAGACGGATCAGATATCATGTTCATTAGGGTCTCGAGGGGGTTAAAATAATGCCATCCATGTTAGCCAATCCAAAGCCATCGTCTCAAATTCAAATAAGCTTAGAATTTGCTGGCATGTATGACACTATTTTAACCCCTTGAGAGGCTAACGAACATGATACCTCTCTTAAAATTTGCATCTCAACTGTGGCTGATTAAGGTCGGTAAAGCCCAACGGAATAATCCACTTTTTTTTTTAAAGGGTTGTTTACAAAAACAAAATTATTGCGCTCTGATTACAGGAAATGATTTTATATTTTAATCATGATTCCAGAGCAGAGACAAGATTTTTAACTGTACTGGTGATAAGTTGTTGGCCCTGTGTAGCACTATCTAGCCACAAATTTTTTAAAAGGGATTGATTCTGTTAACTCGAAGACTTATAATGTTTGAATTTTCATGCCTACAGAATATAAACTAAAAACCTTTCATTCATATATTTCATTCATATATTATAACAACAGCAAATGTCGGCCTGAAGTGTAAAGTCCATGGGACTGAGCAGTATTAAGGCTGTGATTTATCAGATCGTATTTTCTTGTCATGTATTGATGTTTAATGTACAATTTAGAAAGTTCGCCGTCTCTCTATAGTTTGAATACTTGATTACTCGAGTCATTTCGGTCGCACTAGCAAGTGTATGTAAATTGTCAATGAGAAGGAGGCGATAAAAATAATCCTTTGCGTTGAAAGAAAATTTAGCAATGAAAGGTCATCACATTTTATGGGTCTCTAGAGCCCAGAAATTGTAATTAAAATCAAAGTTATCGCAACTCAGAAGCCATTACCAAAACAACGCATGACGAATTCATAAATATATTTAATTAACTTTACGGCTAATTAACACTTTTTTTCTTTGTTAACAAGAAACAATCATCGTCATTTGGTTATTCCATGCTTTCGCTTTTTTTGTTGTTGTTGCTGTTGTTGTCTTCGGTTACGATTGTATAAAGGATCACCTTTACATTGAGCTTTCTTGCACTCAAGCGAATTATCATCGATCAGTTGCAGTTCTCGCGGCATGATGGCAGTATCACCTCCAGTAACGTACTTCCCAATGTCCACTTTTCCTAACCTAATGGACATCGGACAGCTGACTCCGTTCAGCGCAGGTTGTTTTGTCTTCGATCTCGAAGTGAAACCGGAATGGATCAGGTGCAATCCAAATGAGGTCACCGTGTTGTCTTGTAACCAGATGTTCCAACCGATCTTTTCCGTTTCTCCAATGCTCAATGTTCAGGAACACACTCTTAGCGTAAAAACGCAGCACGACTTTGAAACATTGCAAGAAATGTTCCCTCGACCAGTTGTCTTGTGCGCCACGAGAAGACAAGAGGACGAGGCCATGATCGACGGGCTTGATACAGACTTTGTCATAGTCATATCGACCCGTCCGATTCCAGTATCGCGCAAGAGCTGTCGAGAATCACAGATCTCGTTGGCGAAAAGCTGAAAAGGCGAAAAAAAAATTCTACCTCACGATAGATCTCACGGATAAACTAGACGAGGTGTCACCACTGGAATATCGAAGTCACATTTTTGGCTACATTGTGGCTTTTACATGACAAACTTTTCCTCGCCTTATGAGACTCTTTACCGCGATGTTTTCTGCATCTGGTGTTTCGTCATACCATGTTGTTTACTTGTTGCGGTACCGTACAGGATCTATAGAAAATTACGTTGCAAGAAAGTTGATTTTGATTGCCGTCTAGAGCTCAAAATGTCTTACACAGTACCACCGATCTTGCAATGCTTTTCAACCGATAAGCCTTTTCCTGGTCGGTACTTACAACATACAAAAAAGTACAACCCTTGCCTTCGTCGCCCACCAGAGATTCGTAGCCCCATTGCTGTATCCGAGTGCCAATCATAAGCGATTTGCACTATGACGTAATTTTGATACAACTCCAGAATCGTTTAGTACATGTTTGTTCACCGCTTAGATGTTCTCTTGCTATCTTCCTGGCCAAGCGAAACGTGGCGCCAGCAATGCCCAATTCCCGCTACAAAAGGGAATCGTGTCTTCTTTATTCATCATCTTGGACCGGATATTTGGATGAACACAACTAAGTATTGGTCACTGTCATCAAAAAACAAACAAAGAAAACATTGAACAACGACAATACGAAATTAGCTCTCCCACGTCCGGTTTGCTCGTTTTTAATTAATTGGATTTAATCATTATTAAGTTCTTTCCGCGATAAAATGTTACGTGAACATATAAGGGCTTTGTGTTCCATTGCACCACCTAACATTGCGTAATAATT